TTCCAGGCGCCCTTCGGCATCGTGACGTAGAGGTGGCCGCGGCAGCGGGCCTCTGTGAGAGTCAGATCGTCCGCAGACCACTCTCCAGTGCCGGTCACCTCCTGGTCTCCTTGTCTGTCTGCTGCAGTCAACAACTGCCAGGTGCACGGTAGGACCTGGCTTCAGGTGTTCGACCCTCCAGCCAGGAGGGGAGGTGCACTGCCGCCGGCCGGGCAGCGGGGGCCGTGCACCCGGAGCAGGGGCGTCGCAGTTCAGTGCATGAGCACGTCCCTGACGCTATCCCACGCGGTAGACACCTCCGCCCTGAGCTCAACCTGTGAGGAGCCTGACGAGACTGTCTGCCGTCGGTGTGGACAGGGCTTTCGCCGTGCAATCTTCAGTTCGGTCCTGAGTGGCCCTCGACACGTGCCGTAAAAGACTGTCTGCCGTCGGTGTGGACAGGGCTTTCGCCTTGCAATCTTCAGTTCGGTCCTGAGTGGCCCTCGACACGTGCCGTAAAAGACTGTCTGCCGTCGGTGTGGACAGGGCTTTCGCCTTGCAATCTTCGGTTCGGTCCTGAGTGGCCCTCGACACGTGTCGTAAAAGCGAACGAATAGGCAAGCGCGTGTTGTACTGTCCGCAATGCTGGAGTTTGCGAGGCAAATAAAGAGACGCTGGGCTTGGTGCGTGTTTTGACCCGCTCATGTGCCGGTGTCATGTTAACTGCCTTCTTTCTCCTGCTGTTCCCTCCCTGCTGCACCAGCGTGTCGACTAACTGATCGCACTCTGTTCACATTATTTGTTCCTCCCTGTTGCAGGACCAAGGCCGGTTCTCTGCCAATACGTTCATGCCTGCGTTCTGGAAGATATTCTGGACAGATGTGCAGTATCTTAAAGCGTTTCCAGCCGTCTTCCTTCCAAACTCTTAGTAATTCACAGCGATCAGGGCAGCGGCCAGCAGTGAGCATGTGATACATCTTCGACGTTTTGAGAGGTGTTGAACATTCTTGAGCATATTAAAGGTGCAGCCACATCTCCCGGGCTTTTAGGCAGTGAGAATCAGACATGTGTGTCGAAATATGCGTCAAAACCTGAACAAATGTCGCTTCCAGTTCCACACGGTACAATAACAACCTCCGCCCGGGTCCATGTGCACCCTGTGTACGGCATAACCCCAATTCCCTTCCATTCGCGCATGACTAGATAATGGGGCGCTCCAACGAGAAATATCGAGCAGCAGCTATACTACGTGTGCTTGGAGGACACCTCATCCTCAGTTGGTGCGCGCTCCCGTTGGATGCTGTCAGGACTGCGTTGCAGGCACCAGGTCATACCAGGCCAAAGACCAGGCCATACAGACGTGTTAATGAGTAGGCTGCGAGACACCCCGGATCGAAAACACCATCTTTTTAGGAGAATTGGTCGCGAGGATGCCAAATACGTGCCCCAATCGGTGTCGAGACCAAGCCGTTCCCCAGATTACAGCGCTGCCCGTTGCAAAGCTATGCTCCTGCTGGCTCGGAGATGAGATATATTAAGTGACGATCGAACGCAAACGCTGGGATGTTCCTTCAAACCACGGCGTCCATGATCCGCTGAGTCCGTGAAGCGGAAAAAATTCCTGGAGTGTTTTCAAGGGAGTCCACGGTCTGCAAAGTATCACGATTCCAGAACCTGCATAAGTGATGAGTTTGCTGCCACGTCGTCATGTTGTCAGTATTTATCTCTGACGGGGAGTTTACCTGAGGGTGTCGCAAAATCCCTCGGACAATGAGTTTCTGTTGCCATTTCTGATTCTTCAAAAGACATTGTTTTATCCTTGGATCCAATGAACACTACCAACATCCTAGCATTTGCATATCTAGTTAAAAAACACTTTGCCAACACCGAAGGATACAGCAACCCAATCACACCTTATCATGAAGTCACACACATCACCATTACACATCATGACACCACACACATCACCATTACACATCATTACGTCACACACACCCCAGGCTGCCAACGACACTCCGTACCCCAATACGCCAGCTTTAAAACTCGAACCGCTTTCCCTCCCCTCCCCCGAAATACCCTCACCACTTACACACAACGCATGTCTCAGTCGATCTGGTGTTCTGCTTTCGTCTCTTCTCGTGCCTGATGTTATAATTTCCCTTTACCGTTGTTGTGTGCGACATTTTGCACTAAGGCTTTCATTGTTTTCTCCTTGTGTTTCATTGTGTGTTCAAGATCACAGTTAAGTTGTATGCATGGTGGCCATCGATAATTCCCAATAAGTCAGCTGCCACGTAGATATTTTATCTGCTATTCTATTTCTTAAACATATGCGCCCATATATTTCGTAATGATTGGCAATCGTACAAAAGTCAGATATTTTATCTATAGCATCGCAATAACGGCACACTGGAGTGCTTATCACATTCCTAATGCACCAATGGCTAGTAGGTGTGATGCAAAATTCGGTGTGGCAGCTATTGAAATTCTGTGGATTTCAAGCAAGCACAAAGAGGTCTAAATATTTCCTTTCAGCCTTTTATATTATACCATTCTCGATATGGGTCTCAAAACGATTCTACATAGTTCAGCCAAGTAAAAATCAGAGTTAGGTCCATCAGTGATTCTTCGACTTCCTCACCCGGAAATCACAGAACTAATAGTGCGACCTTTAAGTCGCGCTTAGCTGGCTGCCTGGATCGTCAGCTATCACATTTCTTTTCACATTTGTGGTGTAACCCGATGCAAGGGCTTGTACATTAGAATGTTAACGCTTTCAACTTGATATTTTCTCTGAGGCTCATTTATCCTAAACAGTACCATCGGACCGAACCAGGCCAGTAATAATGCTCATTCCAGTAAAGTACATGTCAATTTAAGACACTGGTTTTTGAGCCGTGTGGATGCTCCTTTTCATGCCATAACATATTGCAATGAATGTCGTTGTTTTTTACTAAACCACTGGTGCCAGTGTGGACGATAATCAAAACGTGCTTATAGAAATGCAGTATCCGCAAGCTAGGACTTTGCTTTTTATTCCTCTTCAAGACTGATAATATTCGGACCCAGTGTTACCTTGCACACGTCTGCTCCAGCACAACCTCAATGATTAATGGAAAAGCTCTACATCTCCGACCCTCAAATCACTTCACCCTATACTTTGCGTAAGAGCTTGCTGCGCGGCTTTAAGAGGATGACCCTTTCTCAAAGAACTTAATGATCTTTCTCTGAATTTTCAGCAAATTTACTGAGGCAGTATTACAAACGAACATGCAAACGCCCAAGACCCTATATACCGGGTGCGGTCATCCGGCCACTTGACCGCTAAGTCACGTGGTCCTGTGACGTCATCGGTTGTCCGTAAAGCTGGTTCGAGGGCTGCGCCACGAGATGCGTAGCGGTCTTCTGATTACAGAGGGGTTGATGACGTCAGTGGAATAAGTGTGGCTATGGCCGCTATGCCTCTATGCCCCTATGTCCCTATGTCCCTATGTCCCTATGTCCTTATGGCCGATGAATGGATGACAGGGGCCTGCATACACCAATTGAGGCGCCAAGGGTGCCTTAAATAGCGTAGTGCTGCCTTTTAATGTTGACAATTGCCAACTCCAAACCTTAATTGCTGTTTCTATCTTCTTGCAGGTCAGTTCGAAATTATCTGCAACGCGCTAATTACTAGCACTGGACCATTTCCAAGATGTTTACTTTATAACTTTGTGCAATGCCAAACACTGTGTTTTTTTCGCGCGCCCCATTTGCCCCACTTGCTCCACTTGAAACTTGTAAGTCAAGATTAGTCTTTCGGGCTGGAATACCACCTAAGCTTTTGCGGGAGCCGCGTTTAATGCATGGCACGGCACGGACGTAGTGCAGGCCCGCTCATACCCGTGCACTGTGAACTTTGTGCGGTGTGTTCTAAGCGCCAGCTGAATGCGAACCGCAGCTCGCCATGCCGAGCATCGGCTCCCTCGGGCTCACGTGACCCGGCCGCCGGACATCCGCGCCATTTAGAGAAGTGTTGCGTAACATATTGTAAACCACTCTATCACCACTGGTCGAAATTGTTGCCGGCAAACCCAGACGAGATCACATCGCGGAATCCCGCAAACAGCTAAACTGACCCAATTTCGACGAGACTGTCGAAATTGGGCCAGTTCATTGGACACCCTCGACTGCATATGTTTGCATCGCGCCATTTACGTGCCTGATGGGCCACAGGCTGTCAGTACTCTGATCAGGCGCCGATCTTAAGTATCTCAGTGGCACACCAGAATCACCGATGACGAAACTGTACTGTACACGAGCGCTAAAAACACCCTCGCTTAGAGTGCGTGACAAGGAAATTTCGCTATCGAGCTGTAGCGGCGCGGAATTACCTCCCTGCTGCCGCGCACCAGGCGAAACAATTTAATGAGTTCAAGGACGAAGCAATGTTTTTCATCAGATAACTTACCTAAATTGACCAACTGGCCATGACGTGCAAGTGCTGATTGTATCATCAGTCGCTCATGTTTTATAACATCGCATGTGTATCGCTGGCGTTGCGTCTCATTTGCATGTGTTGCGTGTTCTCTGTTTATCTATGTGGCATGTACTGACGCCGCGGCGTTAGAATGGCCCCTCGCTGGATTTCGCCAAGGTTCGGAATGATGTTAATGATGCTGCTGCTGCTGCTGCTGCTGACAGTGATAATGATGCTGATGATGATAATAATAATAATAGTAATTATAATAATAATACTAATACCACTACTACTACTACTACCAATAATAATGATAATAATGTCCGCCGTGTCCTCCAACAATGGTTCATGGATGCGAGTTCACGACCTTCCCGATTCCAGCGACCATCGCGAAATGCATCACAGTAGGTTTCAACCGGAGAATGATGACAAAAGCTGGTGTGATAAAGCTGCAGCAACGAGCATTTTTAGACGGCATGTTCAAGCCGCGCCAACTTGAATGGAAGATGATTCAGTCGCTAGTGCACGAGTCATATCACGTCCTCTGCTAAAACAAAACAATGCGGTAATTTTTTATACATATGAGCGATATATCGAGGCCACCGGCGACATTTTAACATTACCTAATGAACAAGAAAAAATTTGATTCCCGACAGCCAGTCATCTGTTTGTGAAACCATGTAACTCAATACCGACGCGGTGCATTTTAAACACTTTACCGCCAAAGGGTCATAGACGGATGAAGGAGGAAGTTTTGCGGTGCAGTCTGTGCAAAGCACGTTCAGCCAGATACGGCCGCAGGTCGTAGGACAGCTCCGACGGCATCCTCCCCGTCGATGACGGAGAAGGCACCTCCAGACGTGAGGACGCCACCTGGTGTCACGCCAGTCGCGACATCTACTGGGAGCATGCGCCTGGCGCTCCCGCTGGGCAGCAGAGGTAGGCATGCTGGCTGACACAACACTGCCGGAGCGCACAGTTCGGTCGATGTTTGACATTGCCACATGCATGCATTAGGCGCATCAGAGTGCATACAGTGATAAGGAAAGTTTTGACCATCGCGTGCGCTAGGGCGGGTTATTGGAAATGCAGGCTAACAGGCATGCAGTCGGTGCATAGCGAACGGAGGATGCCCTCGGCCATCGCTTACCTCCGGTCGGCCTTTGGTCACGTCCGTACTGGCTTCGACATGATGCGTGGCTACAGCACCCTTCGGGCGACTTTCCCTCGCCTGACGTCCCTGGGGCGGCTTCAGGATGTTCTGGTAACCTGAAGGAGAGCAGAGCGTTGGTTTAGCGAAATTTGTGAACATCCGAATAAGAGGTTCAGACTGCCCAATTCCATGCCAAAACACTGGGTGCCGCAGCCTCTGTTCCCAAATTCTCCTTTCTGACCGCTTCTCTTCTGACATTCCCACTCACGACAACCTCTCTCCTGCCGTTCCTCTCCCGAAAGATCCTCTCCTGATGGTCACTCTCCCGACAGTCTCTCTTCTGACAGTTCCTCTCCCGAAAGTCCCTCTTCTGACAGTGTCTCTCCTGTCAGTCCCTCTCCTGAAAGCCCATCCCCTGGCAGTCCATTTCCTGGCGGTTCTCTCCTGACAGTCCCCCTCCCAACAGTCCCTCTCCTGACAGTCCCACTCCCAACAGTCCCTCTCCTGACAGTCCATCCCCTGACAGCCCCTCCGCGAGCAGTGCCTCTCCTAAAGGACCGGCCGGTGACCCGACAGTGCCTTTCTGACAGTCCATCCCCTGACAGCCCTTCTGACTGTCCATCCCCTAACGGCCCCTCTGCGAGCAGTGCCTCTCCTGAAGGACCGGCCGGTGACCCGACAATGCCTTTCCTGGCAGTCCATCCCCTGACAGTCCTTCTCCTGACGGTCCATCCCTGACGGTCCCTCCGCTGAGCAGTGCCCCTCCTGACAGGCCGGCCGGTGACCCGACAGCGCCTCTCCGGTGACCCGTACCCGGCCGGCTGTGACTGTGAGGCCCGGCCGGCCGGCGCGGCCCGTCCCACGTGACCGTCCGGCGGAACCCTGTCCAGGGGCTCTCCTTGCTCTTGCATGTGTTCTCCAGCAGGTGGCCGCGGTCGTTGGCGATGAACTTGGTGCTGCCATGGCGCATGCGCGGAGCAGAGTCGGGTGTGTCCGGCAGCTCCCAGTTACCGATCCGTTTCGGGTCGTACTGCTGCTCAAACTGCCAACAACGACGCCATGTCAGTTATGTGCGGTCTGGTTCGCCAGCATCCACTGAAAGACTGCGGCGCATGTAAATAGCATGCGATGGTGATTGTGGCGGTACTGTCAGATGATGTCCTGATATCCTCAGGTCTGAGTCCACCCTTTCCACACTACGTGATCCCGAGCCCGAGTCCGGGCAGGTGATCTCGGTAGTCTCTGAGTCCGAGCTAGGGTTTGAGGCATTAAAGATGAGCTCCGAGTTCAATTCCTTACGTGACTTTCTGAAGTAGTGAGCCCGGGATCATCATTTTCTTACGGAACTGCGCAAGGCGGAAAACTTCGCATCAGGTTGTCGGGGAGAATAAAAAACAAACGTAAAATATACAGACTGTAAAGAATGTACGTTGGTAGCAGTATAAAATAACGTTTAATTCAACCTCACGTAGACCCTAAATGTAAATGCTAATAAGCCTGTAGACTTACATCTGTGTTATTGTAGGAAGTACTTGCAGGCCTGCATTGACTTATGGTAGCAGGCTTCCGTGTTTAAACTGTGGGCTAAGCACGTTTTACAAAGTAGCGTTGGCCAATACCAAGTCTTAGAAACCTAACCTAACCCAAACCAAGTTAACCTAATCAAGCTCAGCCAAATCTAACTGAAACAAACGTGACAGACCTGACCCAAGGGCACAGTCAATATTTGCGACGGGAGAAGCTACCAGGATTTGCAGCCGGAGTGACTCGGAATCCTCAGGGCCAAGACCCGGCCCCATTCACGATACCTACGCGCTACGAACAGAATGCAGACACACAGTCGCTAATAGGAATAGCAACTCATATATCAAAGGGCCATCAATGCCAGTTTGCCCCGCCGTCCAAACACAATGGTCTGAGCTGTGCATCTTATATATCCGTTCAGCAATCCAGTGCCTTTGTCACTAAGTCAAAGCTATTCACTGCGCATGGTAGACGACTGGATTTAAGCACAACCATCCGACGCTGGAGTAGACACTGATGTACATAACACCAAACTGTCTTCTTCAGAACATGTATTATTCTGCTATTAAAACGCACATTCCTCTCCCGGCTCAAGCTCGAATGAAAATCAAATTAGGTCGGAGTCCCAGCTTCCTCAGCTCATTGAGTCCGAGCTGGTTTCCGGGTCTTAGCGCCTCAGGTCCCCGTCAGAATCCATGGTCATTATTCCCCCAAATTTGTGAGTTTTTGATGGGTCCAATTCGTTCCAAAATGAACCGATGCGGGTGCACACAGATCCAAAACATTGTGAGTATGTGATCTCCGAGACCGAGACCGAGACCGAGACCAAAACCGAGACCGAGACTGAGATCGAGACCAAGACCGAGTCCAAGTCCAAGTCAGAGTCCGAATTCAGCCGCACTAGGGCCCATATCTCATACGCAAGGCAAGACCGTGGGCACGCAGTCGTGTCAATGTTTTTCCTTGTTGCAGAAAGTGGTTTTACGCCGTCGAATGATGCCTGGAACTTGAAGCTGTTGCCAAACAAGGTATTTGCCAACATGCCAACAAACAAGGTATTTTCAGCTCCTTTGTTTACGTTCGTTTTTGGCGCATGGATGGGCTCCCAAAGGTTAGGTTGAGACACCAGGTTTAGGGTAATTTCAGATGCAGGAAAAAATAAAACGAACATTGAGCGCACTCCAACTAAAGTGGACCCAATCCATGTTTTTATGGAAGGGGGGGGGGGCCTGGAAATTTTAAGTTCTTTGCCTCATCCCTTCATAGGCGAAACCGTTGGGTTACATTGGTTACACTAAGGCCAGTAGATCATGCTCGCAGGCCAGCGGTGACGTGCCCCACAGTTTTCCTGAGATGGGATTTCGTGGTCCCCATTTTTCGTGCAACGGACATCTTCGCGTCTTTACATTCCATATACCACTCTCAGGCCAGGATTAGCCCAGATTCCAGTTTGACCCACCGATCTTGATTTGTCCACATCATCTCCGAGACGGGGCTAAACCCAAGCCTCCCCTTCCATTGCCAAGACTCTTGCTGCACCATACCCATGCCTTCGTTGAATTACGGCTATCTTACAGAATAAGTCCGCATATTTTAATTGGTGAGATTAGCCACAGAATGCACGCTAAGTAGTTTTTCCGCTTATACCTTGAACCTACCGCCCAGGTGATGTCATTCCGCTTGTAGATGTAGATTTTGTAGATTATTTTCCTTTGGCTCTGTGTCTTTTTCAGTGTCATTTTTCAGTTCAGGGTCTTTTCAGTGTCATACCGCGCTGTAACGCGCCGTCCTGCGGCATTGCATATTTCTGACGATAGGCACGCTGACACCGGGCTCAATGAAGAGATTGTTCTGCCCACGGAAAAAACCTAGACGCGAGAAACTTGCTATTTGCAATCTGCAGCGATCTAGAACGCTTTCGTCGAGGTGTAGATTGACCATCTTTGTGCACCAGCACTGAGCTCACGTAGTCTACTCTTCTGAGCGGCCATAAAGTGATCTGCCTGAGGCCGGCGGTGATTTAGCGGGGCTTCAGAGGGCTGTGGCAACTGGTGCCGTTTCGGGCCCAGACTGCAGGTGGACCCGGGTCGTTCCGGCACCGGTAAGGTCGACCCGGGTCATCTCGGCACCGGTAAGGTCGACTCGGGTCGTCTGGGCACCGGAAAGGTCGACCCGGGTCGTCTCGGCACCGATAAGGTCGACTCGGGTCGTCTCAGTACCGGTAAGGTCGACCCGGGTCATCTCTCGGGTCGTTCCGGCACCGGTAAGGTCGACTCGGGTCGTCTCAGCATCGGTAGGGTCGACTCGGGTCGTCTCGGCACCGGTAAGGTCGACTCGGGTCGTCCCGGCACCGGTAAGGTCGACTCGGATCGTCCCGGCACCGGTAATGTCGACTCGGGTCGTCCCGGCACCGGTAAGGTCGACTCGGGTCGTCCCGGCACCGGTAAGGTCGACCCGGGTCGTCCCGGCACCGGTAAGGTCGACCCGGGTCGTCCCGGTACTGGTGAGCACCGCCATGTGACCCTTGCGCGGTGCTTCGGCACACATCGTGAGGTACGGCCAGCGTAGACTTGACGCGCGGATCGTTGCAGAGTTCGGAGCCAGGGCATTACACCAGAACACCATAAAATCGGCAGACCCATTACGACGACAAACATGGGGGTAGTCCTGTTTAAGGAAAACTAATCATCAGCGTTTATATAAACAGTTGAATATACATCACAAGGGATGAGACGCTTCAATTATTTACGTTCGCAAGCGAACCGCCACAACGAAAGAACGTAACCTGGCAAACAGCAAATAACAAGAGCAAACAACAACAAACGAAATCAACAGTGGAAACGGATTTTATCGCTACGAGTGCACGACTTGGCCGATCAAACAGCCAGAATTTATATAATGAAGCAGGCGAAGCAAAGCCATCATCGCACCGCCTCAGTGCTCGTCAAAGGACATGGAACGTCTTAAAATGGTAACCGTTATGCAAAACCACTGCACACAATTCCGCAGAAGCCTCAATAACTCTCAGATACCATGGACGGGAATGCCCTACTCCATCGCGGTCGCCGAAGGACCCTCGACTCGGGCGGGCCGCAGCCCCGGGAGTCGGCGCGGACTGAACAATCCGCCGGTCTGTTGCGTCCGCCTCAGCGACAGCGCAGTTCATACAGCCGCTAACTTAACTTTGTATTTGGTAATGTCTTTCAGGCTAAGTATTCACTACTCACCAGAATTACTGAAAGGAGGGCATGTATATGGGCTCAATAAAAAAGGAAACAAAAAAGGAGCATTCTCAAACAAAACTAACCACGGACCAAAGCCTTATTCCCTTGTTTATTTTGAAAACAGATTGACTGAACGTCTAATCACGTGACTAATCGATCACTTCTCTCTGAACAGCGGAGTGGTTATAGAACCAGGTACAATACACAGCTGCAGATGGCTTACCTTATCTGTATCCATGGACGTAAAAACACAATAAAATTCCAATCTGACCAAAGTTGCCGGGGTAAGAAAGTCACCGACCCAGTGGTGATTACGCCCGTGCCAACAATCGCTACATATCATTTGATAACGGATTTGACTTCACCGCTGCCTTCTTGGACATGATGAAACATGCCGACAAGATTTGGTGCAGAGCTTTTGAAAAAGACAAAATTGTATTTGGAACGATGCGAACATTACTTAATTGGCCATGCTCATATATGAAAGGCAGAAACCAAAGTTGTTCTCGAGACTCAGTTCTCAATATTAGGACCTCTTTTGGCAGTTTTGTATCTAATATGGTAGATTGCCTTATGGCCAACAGTATCCTCCTTTTCGCAGACACATTACTCCATAAACAACACTTTACTGCCAACAACCCACTAACCACACAACGGTCACTGCAGAAAGATCTCGACGCAAACCTCCATTACAGCAGACAGTGGGTCATCACATCTAACGTAACAAACAACAGTACAGTAAACATTTGCACATAAATTCAACATACGTAGTTGTTAGGTACATGTGCGAGGAACATTATTCACAAAGATAAGACAGTGATAATAGCCTCATTCCTTGAAAAAACAGGATATGTCTAAGCAAAAAAAAACCTTTACCTCCATTCTCCTGGTTTTCTCCGCGGAATAATGCTGTTACTACTCTTGCCTATGTTAACTCAACATAGCTTCCGCTAGCCAGCCTAGCGTTTGTTGTCCAACATGGCCCCAGTGCCTCAGCACACAATCCCTTGAGATTAATTTTTTAATGGGACGTTAAATTTCAGATTTCTTCCAACGAAACAATTAATACAAACCAAACAATAAGCCAACCTTTGCCCGAGCTCGAGAATGCATCGGCAGAAAATTCCTCACTCAGCACCACGCACATCCCAGCTACTCCCGACCATTGCGACGACGCTCGCCGACGCGAAACGATACAGCATCGGCAGCAAGACTGATCGCGGGACCCGCGACACATGCTTCGGTCACATGCTTATGTCCTATGGTCACATGCTTATTTTAACCTTGTTTGTCCTTTTGAAGGTCAAGGTGACCAAAATACGACAAGATTGCTTTGAGTTTTGCATTTGACTGGGCGACAAAGATTACGCTAGGCAGTATGCTCCTAACACAAAATGCTGACCTGGGCCATTTTAAGTCCATGACGTATTCTGACCTGTGAGAAGTCCATGGATGATGTTTAATGCGGTTCCTCCTATCAATAAATTCGACATGAGCACCAGAAACTATCGCTCTCTAAACTTTCGGGGGTGTCAATTTGACCCCCACCCGAGCGCGTGTTAAACCAAAAAAAATAAAATAAAAAAGCAGACTCCCGGCAGCTGCGGGCCTCCCAGTCTCCCCATCTGCCATCATTCATCCTTAAGACGCCATGTTTGGCAAAACTGGACACTGGACTCCGGCAAGGCATTTCCGACTTGATCACCTATTTCTTCCAATTTGAAAATCCGCTCCCCAGCTTGTTATTGTAAACACAATGGGGTAAATATGACACACTTTGTTCGTGGTCGACAATGCCAGCATATCAGGCGTATTTCCTTCCGGAATGTGTCCGAAAATTTGCGAATTAACCTACCAGCACTCTCCATTCAAAACAACTTCATGCTCTCTTTCATGGTACTAATATTAATACTCAGAGCACGGCAAGGTCGGCACCTGCTTCTAACATTTTTTTATCCACTCTGCGCGTTTTCATTAATGACTCTGACTTCGCCGTGGCGATGGTCTTGAGAAGTGTGTGACTAAAGACATTTAGGACCGCTGGGACCGGTAAACGGTGGGCAAAAATGGAAAATACGGTTTTTACACGAACTAGATGAATGTGTTGTAATCAAATCGTTATGAATCAAGCAGCAAACGTCTCTGGCAATGGCGATCATATGCAATCTTTTGTGTTCCCGCAAACCGATTCTCCAAGTTTGTGTACTCGACTTGGATCGAGAACGATCCAAATAGTTCAAATCACGTTTGTTCGCCCAGCCAGCTAAAAATGAAAACAGTCGCGGGACAGACTGAGCAATACACTTTGTATACCTATGACCACCACGCACGCATAATTTTGGAAGGTTAAACCGACAGGCTCTGGTGTGCGGGACTGACTTAGGTCAGCCATGATCAACCCTCCCCATCCCTCAAAACCCCAAGAATACGTTATACGCCCATGGTCCATGGCTTACTAGTGGGATGGAGCCCGCCATTGGCCACTGATTTCCCTCCCGAACTTGTTAGCTGATTGCGCGTTGCGGAGGCAGGACAACTTGGAAAACGCAAGGAGACTTCTTGGAGGCTTGGACACTCTAGCTGTCTCAGTCAATTTAAGAGATCAACACTCGTGGAAATAAGCGTGCAGCAGGCCACGAAATATTAAAACCTGGCAAAGTTGGAGAGGCACGTCCCCCCCCCGACCCCCTGTGGGTCATGTGGGTCTGTGGGTCAATGAGCCAATGCTCATTAATATAAAACCCAACAACCAGTAGCACCCCAGATATTAATCCTGCGTTTAACAGTAATCGCGCGCGCCTCACTTTCGACACCAAAGGCGAAGACAACAGCTGATCCGCGGTCGAACAGCTGACGGTCAGGATCACTTGTTCCCAGCAAAACCACGCGTTTCTCACTCATTTCAGCCGGTGTTAGAGTGGGAGCGACATTCCTGGCCGGGACCAATAACTGTTCTTCTAAGCCATCCGTTATCCTATCGAATCATCCGAAAGTGATAATCGGCTAGCAGCATGGGGCTTAGTAGTGAAACAGGATTTGAACGGATGTAAATATTTAGCTCGTAATTGCCTTATAGCAGATCAAGTATCAGGTCAAAATCAAGCCAACTCGGATCACTCCATTCAAGATCGCTCGCCCCGTCGCTCCGTTCGCCTCACCGCAACACATACCTTTGCTTACAAATGCATCCTATCTGCATAAAACCCACCAAAACACCTTCGTACACGTACCTGAGTAGCTCCTCGCGTAAGGGCCATCTCGCGCCTCCTCAACGTCGCGCTCCAGCCCGTCCGCTCACCAAATTTGCCTCCCTGGCGTCACAAGCGCACGACAGCGTAATTTTGGCAGCATCTGGTCACGTGCAATTGTTGGCGGCCGCGCCGCCAGCTCGGCCGCACGCTATCGATCACACGCGCCCGCCGCCGCCTGTCGCCAAGGCAACGCACGCGGCGTCCGCGGAACACTTTCAGCGACATCGGCGGCAGCGGGCCACGAGTCTCCGGCATCGTATCTTAATGGGATCCATGAGTTTTCCGCCGCCCTGTATCAGCGTGCTGAACGTCAGAGCGATGACCCGGTTGCGGGCACGCTGCTCGCGCACGTGCCCTCTTGCGAACATCTGAAAGGCAGATTGGAGTGCCCGGGCTGCTGACAGCATTCCTAAAAATTTGCAAAAGCTCGTTCGGAAACAAGTTCATCGCCAGGGGTGTGAGTTTCCTATTCAGCTACAGGAAGGGGAGAAGTTTTGAAAAATGATGTCGGGGAAGGTGTCTGAACAGTAAGAAATTACCCTACCTGCTCCGAAATTACACGGGCAAACGGGTTTCTCTACAGATTGGGCCCACTGTTCTCAAAGTTAGAGGGCTAGTTCCCACCCCATCCCCACCCCCAACCGAATAAGCAACTACACCCCTGATTAGAGGGCTCCAAGCCACTCCCCAATCCTAAGAAAAGAAACGGGACAAACCCGTGGAGAAAAAGCTTGCTGACGTATTTTGTGGACAGGCTTCGTTTTTTAACGCTTGTCCCTCGGCATCCCGTCTAGATGCCAGTACAATGCCCCCACATTTTGCGGGACTACATCCCCGGCCATCGCAAAAACCAGTTCGCCACTCCGTGCGGCGTGGTGAAGTGGTGACGGGGAGGAAATCGGTTATTGATTAGCATTATGTTGGTGACGCCGGATCCTAAGCTAATAAGGGTATGCACTAGAGTTGCAAAGCTTCGGAAAAATGATGGGCTCTTATTGTCATCTCTAAGTCCGGTAGGTTATGAGTCGGTTACAGCATAGTGCTTGATAGTGCGGTAAAGTGCTAGATAGTAGATAGTGGTTACAGCATGGTGATGATAGTGCTTCAGTATTGTATATTATAATAGGGTTATTTAGGCAACGCCTTCATGTCAACACACATTACAGCAATAAGGCAAAGCACGGCATCAGGGGCGGGTTTGCCGAATGAGTTGGTGCGGGGGAGGGGAACTGAGCCGTGAATAATGACGAAACCTACCCCTCCCCAAATACACCAACAAATGGTTTCCTCCACGTATTTGGGCCACTTCTTTCTCAAAGGTGGGGGAGGGGCTAAAGCCCCTTAACTGAAAACAGTTCTCAGCCCTGCGCACACGGTGTCGATTTGCATTCTTCTGCGCGGGGCCTTACCCAGTGTTAACTGCCCCCCCCCCCCCCCGCTCCGATGTTGGGTTGGGACTCTCATATTTTTGGCTGGAATATTACAAAAACGAAGGAAAGCGTTGACCAATATACAAAGACGATCTTCTTTGATATGTCCTCGTAATGATGTAGCCATGTAGGGTGCAGCTGGGTAACTTGAACTCATAACTTCAATATCATGTCCTCAATTGAGGGGTTTCTTCAGACATTAGGGAAACCATTTTATGACTTGATTGGCCTTTGTTTTTCGGTTAAATGTAAGCCCGGATACTTTATCTCGCAACTTAGCATGAATGATTGATTGATTAACACCACTGATTCTTCTGTCTTGTGAAGACTCATTCATTCCAAGTGACACATGGTCTTCTACCCATCATAGACTACAAATCTAATATTGTGTTAGATAAGACAGTAGTATTAGCCCCATTCCTCGGAGAAAAGCATAAGAATGAAAATATAGTTGGTTTGATATTTCGACAGCATGCATTTATCGAAACAATAGCAGAAGTGAATTCTTATTCCATTGTTTCAATAAAGGTGCTGCCGAGATATTAACCCTATTGCTATTGCGTTCGTGGTATGATTGCATTAAGCTCAGTATCCTCCCACAGACATACAGATCCGAGCAGCATCTCGCGATAGTCCAGGATATTCTCAGCGAGAGTCAGAGTCACTTTAGTTTTATGAAGAAAACCCTCTCGAAGAGCGTTAGCACATTCTAACCAATATGGATGTCTGGCGACGTAAGGAAGGACGTTGTCCAGTTTGTTGTGCGCACCTCGCGGGCCATGCCAGCCTGCTAGCGTGGCAAGGTGCGTGAACAGCTGAGCAAATCCATCCATGAGAACATCGCCGAACCGCTTGTGCCATGGAAAGGCACCGTTTTGAGAAAGCTGCAATGACATTGGTGTTATCTGGGGATGTCTCCAAACAGCGAGGTGATAACGCATGGCTCCGGGTGGCGTAGCACAAAGATGTAAGTCTGTGATAACATTATCACCTGGAAGGAACACTGCAACAAGCATTTGGAGCATATGTAGGACATACGTAAGTGCTGTGACGACAGCGGCGTCACGTTGAACTCGGCGAAGTGTAGCTCTGCATCCGAAGGAGTAGACTTGTGATTGCAACATAGGGAGCTAACGACTACACGTCTGACGGGAAGAATTCGGCGGCAGCCTCCAACCTCCCACATTGAGAAAATCTGACTAAGTTCATGCTCCTCCTTGATCTGTTTCACCCAGATAAAATTGTTCTCAGCGGAAGTCGCATGTGCTGCAAAGCCTCTGTGGCAGCAGCTGCGTCCGAAGAGCGCATGGTTGTTGACGAGGAAACACACCAAGGCTTTCAGTAAAGTCAAGGCAGCGCTGGTCAAATCGCCAATTCTTTGTGTCTTCGATGCAGGGAGAAGACTGGCGCTCCAGACAGATGCAGCACGTCATAAATGAGTAGGAGTTTGCGTGGGGCAGCACGAGAAAGCAGGGAAGTGATGCTTCATTTAACGTGCGTCGCGCTTCCGGCATACCATGACAGCACTTGAAATGCTCCCGACCTTTGTGTAATCAACAAGTGTTCCATCTAATTGCAAGGAATGCAGGTTTTCAAGAAGGCCGCTGGTGCCTATTCTAAGCACAGCCTCCAGGAGATTGCAAACCCTCGTTTGCAGCGTCTTCAACAGCGTCTTGCGCTTTCGGATTACGTGACGGTTTGGCGTCAGGATCAAGCTCCGCTGCATGACTGACACACTGTCAAGACATACAGCTGAGGCACCCAGTGAAGTTGACGGAGTAGCAGAAAGACTCCTCAGACCTCCGACCTGATCATGTGCATGGTGACCAGCGTTGAAGAAGACGGAACACAGATCATGTCGCTTTATTTCGAAGAAGCGACATGGTCAGCTGTACGAGATACATCCAAACGCAGTCCTGAGTCCTTGTGCTGAAGAAAGTTGGGTTCACTGACTTTCCGTACCATCAGTCGGAAGCGGAGCCGCAGCTTTGGTCGTGCTGGAACGTGCGAGGTCGTTTGGCAGCATGGAAAACAACTTAGTCGTCTGCGTGCAGCGACTAGTTGTACTCAGCACCTTTCACTGTGAACTTTCCATAAGCTGCATGCGACCAACAAAGGAGAAAAGTAGAAGAAAAGGAGAACACGACAAATGATATATTCACCAGACACAGACCACGCTGTCTCCAACGTGGTTAAGTCTCGGCCAGAACACCAGCTGTGCTGGCCAAAGCAGTGAAAGGAGCCGATTCTGCAGGTGCCTTGGCCAACGAGAGGCCTTAAAAGTCGTCTCAGCGGGTTTCTTCGAATACGCTGGTGGCAAGTACTTGGCTTATGTGGACACGCTGTCAGGCTAGTCATGGGCCTGTCACTTGGGCGTCTGGGCAGCTGAGGGCCAGCTGAGGAGCAGTCTGCGTCAACTATTCGAGTCTGCCGGGGCTCCGAATCTTCTTCTGAAAGACGGAGGACCTCCATTTGCTGCCAATAAGACAAGAGACTTCCTGGAGAAGTGGGGCGTTATCGAGCACCAGCTCCATCCTTGCCGCATTATCACCAAGGCACCGGACATGCTAAAGCCGCCTTGAAGGACCTCAAGTGGCTGATGAAAGTGGACACTAGACGCAATCTCGACACCCACGCACTTCCTGAGGGGCTGCCAAAGTCTTTGAGGAATTGTTGGCGTGTGTGTGTGTGGGTGCGGGGGGGGGGAGGGCGGTGGTGTACATCCGGATGACTTGAGCGATCTGAGAAATGTTAACCTCAAAGGACAATTTCAGACAACTCAGACATCAACTCAGACAATTTACCCAGCCACCTCAATTCCGTTTTCTACTCAGATCTAAGTCACTTTATTCCTGCGCTCAAGTTAAAAAAAAAACAACAAAAAGGATGTAGCGTATTGCCTGCAAGATATGATATATCTTGCAGGCAATATATAACAGGACTAAACCAGCTGTAAATGGAGGGTCGGGGGGGGGAGGTGTGGGGGGGGAGAGAATTTGATCAAGGGCGGGACATTTTTCCGCAGTTAGATGTCAAAAGCGGTTCTGGGGACTGCTGCAAATGTGCAGCTCTCCTTGGCTCGGTCGACGATGTGGCTCCCAGGTTTGTAAAAACCGACCAAATATCGAGGAGACAGATAAGAATGAGTTATGGCATCAACATATGATACTCCTCAATAAATGCTGTGATTAAAACGTTCTACTCGTGATCAAAGGATCCCGGTTCGGATCCCATTAGCTCCATCGAAAGCCTTGGGCGTGTGACGCGTACACGTCCAAAAGCCAAAACCGTCCAGTCCCTTTAAGAACTCAGTAGCACCATACGGCCGAATCGACTGGCTGAAGCGTTGTGAAGATGCCAACACAGCAATCGGTACTCATGCTGACACATAACGGTACGAGGACGATAATCCGAAATAATCCGTTGTGCAAGGTCGAAACAAAAGGATGCCTGGTCAGGCCTAAAAATGACAGGTCACGATGACAAACGTATTGATGTAAAAAAGCCAGACCATGAAGACTTGCATCATGCCTCGTCGCAGCCTTGCCACCATTTGGAGAACTCCTTATAGCGCGCACTCCAGGTACTCTCGGTTCCTCTTTTTGTAGGGGGCAGAGGTCTGCGCGCCTTGGCGCTTCACCACTAGCCCCTGCGCATGCATCGTGTGTGATATTGCGTGACCTGGCCGATGATACTCTTCAGGTTACCGGGGGCTCTGGGATATCTGTGGATTACGCTGTGGATTGATTATTTCAGGAATCCCATGGGTCTAATTTTAGAGGGGTCAGGTCCAGACAGTAAAGCACCCACCGGTTGTCTGTCTTTCAGCTGAGAGTACGCCCTATGAGGTGGTCCTCCTGTCAGGTCAGCGCCATCCTGGACGCATGCAGAGTCGCCCCGTCACACTGGGATCACATTTCCTCTCTCTCGCCTTCGGGGCCTTGATACAGCTGCCTCCACAAGCATTTTAATATGCTGACGTACCGCTTATTATTTACCGTGACCACAGAGCCGTTTGCACCTTGGAAAAAAGCCCCAATGAGGTGGCTGAAACTCATGGTGCACCCCCCGTTACCTTCGAGGTGTGCAGGGGGCCCTGCAGCATGACGTCTCAGAGCTCAAATTTCAAACCATATTTGACCCTATCGCGGGTTATCGAATTGACAAAAGACTCAGAACTGGACAGGACTACACAAAGAGCTATCTTGCTTAGCCCGCAAATTGGTGTTTGCAACCTAGAATCTATAGCGTCAGTAATGCACATCTGCGTTTCTACTTCGCGCCTGCTCCTTGCTAGACGAATAAGCCGATTGAACTGTTTAAAGCGTAACACTTAACAGGCAGCTACATCCATGCGTCAAAAGCCATTGTGGCATGATACGCCTAATGGGTCAAGTTTTAACACATTATGTAAATGATGCGTCGAGCATGGACAGCAGCGGTATATTTTCTACGGCGTGTGACGTACCTGTTGTCCGATGCCATGGCCGAGGCGAACAATGTTGCCCGGAGCAAGGCTGAGAACAGCAACGTTCCTCGAGTCCATTTCAGAGGACTTCAGTGACGTGGTGAAATAAATAATCTACTGCTGGTACCAACTGATCAATATCTCACTCAGATTATGATACAAATCCGATTATATGATAGCACAACATAATTCGTAGCTGGTTTTTCCGCTGGGGGCTACAGCAGTGCGTTTGGTTAACGCCAAAATGGGTCCAGCTGGCGACGGGCAGCGGGCTTGACAGCGAGCTCAGTTCAGCAATAACGTGACGTGGGAGGCATGTGCGTGCCAAAGCAGCAGAACATTGCTCTCCCAGTGGCATGCGATGGGACAAGCAACAGTGTGTCATGTACGCTTACAACTGAAGTCACTTCAGTTTTACCATTTTCAGCAGCGTTTGGCCAATATTTGAGAAATGCTGCGCAAGGTCGGGCATCAGAAACGCGCGGGACAAGGTACGAAACTCGCCAACTCTCCTGCCTGAACTGCGGGAATACAAATCGGGACCCAGCAGCAGACACTGGTGGCGCAACCTTAGGTATCTATAGATACCGTAGCTAGGTTGTCCTGGGTCATACCAACTAAAACTCCAAAGCACATGGCATCGAACGAAGCAAAAAAGATGTTTAGGTGCTACAAAGTTCCGTCACATGCGCATAAAATTAGATCATGTCTACCCCTCGTCTCAATAATAACGTGACTACTGTTCTGCCGTGAAATGCACTGTGGTGCTAGCAAGAACAAGCTACTTGCCAGCAGGCTACATTAGAGACGGATGCGTCATCGTGGGTCATTGAAAACGGTCCGGATTGTAAGTGTCTAAGCCTATGGCTGACCACATCGGTCTGGGCTGTCCCTGAAGAGCCTGATGAGTCCAGCAACCACGAGAATAATCGCCTACTGTTTGCTTGCTATCGCTACCGCTCCGCCGAGCCGCGGCGTACACCCAAGTAGAACAGCAGGCCTGATTAACCGGTGGAAACGCGGCTGTCGACTGGGCGAGTGCTACGCTAGTTGAAAAGTAAGCTTTTACATGATGCTGCCATTAAAAAACACGTGTCGGTCAACGACAGTCAATGACAAATGACAGAACCTGGGTTCGTGCTCCACAAGTGGGTTTTTGCTGACGGAAGCTGTAAAGCTGTACAATAAACGCATCTGTCAAGTACAAACACACCCGTATGGAGTGGCACAGCGGCGGCTAACCGATGTGTCCGCGTTGTGATGTCTGCGCCGGTGACGCTGTTGCACAGCGTCCCCGGCTCTCCACTCATGCCGCCTGTGACTCACGCGGCCAGTGTGGCCGGTGAGGTAACCGGCCGGGTCGAGCCCGTCGGCCCAGCGCCGCGCCCACGCCCCTCAAACGCGCCGCTTAGCTCACGTATTTATTGTACCGACTTCCATCACATTGACTCACACATTGAACTAGTGGATGAGACGGCGATGCCAGGGCCGAGTGGCGGACGGGGCCGGGCCGGGCCGGGCCGGGCGCGGTGGACGGCCGGGCCACGGCCGGCCCCTGGCCCCCGGCCCGGCCGGCCGCGGCCCATCCCGCCCCCACGGCCACGGAGACAGGTATCACATCAAATGGAGCCCGGGAGTTCAGACAATGGGTGTTTAGGTCTTTAAACAAACAACATAACGGTACATGTTGGCACAACAAGATTAACAGCGATATAGTAAAGACTTCAAAAACCTTACCCTACCAAATACAAAATCTCCTTAGTTAAAATAGTGTGTCTATATGCCAAATATAGCAAGCGAGGGTAGCGGCAGACAGGTGGATTTTCACCAGTGAAACAATCGTTTTATAAATAGCCTCTAATCATGATTTAAAATACAAAAGTTATAAAAAGGAAATGTACACTCGCAAGAACAGCTAGCCTGCCAATGCCTGCTTATAAAACGCACTTAACAATACACAGCGCACGCCGGCATGACCGAGCGCAACAGCGGGCGGCCGCGGCCGCACACGCACACACAGACAGACGGCCGACGGTGGGCCGCCGAGGTGGGCGGGGTCGGCCGCGCGGCCTCTCGGGCGGGACCCGGGCCGGGCCGGGGCCGGGGGCTGAGATCTGCGCCGCGGCAGCGCGGCCGTCCCCCGGCCGGCTACACGCCACACGACGCCCGCACGCACACGCGGTCGGCTACAAAAGGCAGTGACGTCAAAGCAAGGGAATAATACTGCGAGTGAAACTGAATACACAAGGCACTGCGGGGCACGTTGGGTTGCACCGGCGGCTGACCAAGGCGGGAGGAAGCAGTCCAACCTGGCATTCTGAGCGGTATGTTTTACTGGGCGATCTCCACTGTCTCTACAAACATACTTGCTCGCCTGAAAGCCCAGAACCTTTCCAAGTATATGGTATAAAAAGGGAGCAATAGAATGTGTGAGCACGACCTTTGTACATACATAATGACATTGGCATCCCCAGCATAGTGAACATGCAGAACTACCTCATAAGCTTCAACATTTTGATTTTAAACGCAACAGCTATAGGCAGCCCGGCAGGCGTCGCGCTGGGCGTTCGAGCACAGTGACCACACGTCGGTAGGTGCTCTGGCAAGGGCAGCAGTCTCGAAGATCCGGCTGATTTGGAGCGAGAAAATGCCGAGGAATCGATCCGTGTCGCTGCGCCCGCAGCATCGACGGCTGGAGTCAACTCCAGGCTGCTTTAACCCTACGCGTTATGGCCACACTGCTGCTACACGTTGAAACCGCTACGCTACCGGCAACGATCACCAGTGTTCTTCAGATTCAGCTCGTCTGAGCGCCACACAGTGAGAACACGCAACAGCCAGAAGCCACCGCGTGGCATTCGTGGCCGGTTTTGATTGGCTGGACGCTGTGGCTCTGAACCGATGTCCGAAGCCGCCGCCGCCGCGCCGGACAGCGCACGCCGGGGACGCCGCCGCTACCTCCTCCTCCGCACGCCAGCGGCGAGGAAGCGAACAGTTATGGGTGTGCGCTAGACGACACGCTGCTACCCTTGGCCTGGACTCCGAGGGGCCGACCTAACAGCGAGGGCAGGCTCAGTACGAACCACGCCACAAGGATCACGCTAACACTTGGCCACACCACAGAAGGCCGCCCTAAGAGTGCGCCGCGCAGCGGGCCCGCGCCGGGGGCGGGCCGCACCGCACGGGGCCACGCTAACAGCGACACTGCACACAGGGACGCTCCAGGAGCGGCTGCCGCCGAGCGGAGCCGGCTGGGGCGGGGCCGTGAGCCGCCGGACGCGAGCCCTCCCGGCGGTGTAACACCACAGAAGGTCACACCGGGCGTGAGCAACACCACAGAAGGTCACTTCAGATGTGAGCCATACCGGCGAGGGCGGCGCCGAGTGTGGCGCGCACCGCGGGCTGTGCCGCGACGAGTGGAGCAAGCCCTGCGGGCACACTCTCCGGCTGAGGACCACACTGCAGTGGGGCCTCTGAGTATGAAGCTCACCACTGGGAGGACGTCTGACATGAGCCACCCGCTGAACGGCTGCGATCGACGCAAACTTTCTCTGGATGGCGGACCGTTCAGGGCACCGAAAAGGACGGGCACAGCCAAAGGGTGGACAACGCCAGGCGGTCGGATTTGGGTTCGGCAACAACAACGTCAAGCCTCGGTTGAACTACGGCAGACGGCTATGGTATATGGTTCTTGCATATGATCGAGCAGTCTCAGTATCGGCGCTAAGCCCGCCTGGCGCAGTCATCGCCTCTTGAGCCAACCGGGACACGACCACCTCTCACAAACGCCTTGAAACATCGTAACCACCCGTGCACAGCGAAAGCGACCATTCCAGTGAGCGACAGAGAAGGGTTCGGGCCGCGCGAGCGGGCGGCCCACCACACCTAGGTGTGGCCTGTTCGGGACGGTGCGGACCGGCCCGGCAGCCCGGGCCGGCCGCGTGCGGGCGCGCCGCAGAGCGGCCGGCGCCCCGGAGATGGCCGCACGCCGTGCCGCCCCCGGTTAAAGCTCCGCGTTCAACGGGCCTCTATCACATTGAACACCAGCCCGGCCGGCGCCGGCCGGTCGTCGCCCGAGCGGTCAGCGTCACCCTGCGTCGACCCCGGCCCCGACCACGCGCTGCCGTGCGACCCTCAGGGCGGCCCGGCCCGGCCGTCGACCGTCGGCGCTATCACATGTTGGGGATGACGTAGCCCTGGTTGGGTAACGTCAGCATGGAGGGCTCGAGGCAGGGCAGCTCGCTCATGTGGTGGCCGGCCGAGAGTTTGGCGCGGCCCGGCGGCGGCCGCTGCGGGTGCGGCGACGGAGAGTGGCGCTGCTGCGAGCTCTTCCGCTTCGACTCGGCGTCCGGCGGCCGGTGCGACTTCATGTGCGCGTTCCGACTCTTGACCTTGTAGAACACTCTGCGGACGAGGTCAAGAGCGACGCGTCAGGACCAGCGACAGGCGGACAGGCCGCCTCGGCGCGGGAGCAAAGCGTCATCGGCGGAACGTCGCTGCGACAGTCGGGCGGCGTCGCGAAATTCAGGCACAGGCGAGGACATGTGCACCGGCACACGCCCAGAATCTGGGATTTTGCGCATTTGTCGTTGTTTAACGCATCGCAACACACACTCAGCAGGCTTCGTCGCAGTATTTATATCCGCACGCAGACCGAGCGAGCTTCGACGGAACAACAGTGTCCGGCCATCGGACGAGCGCCGCCTTACTCACTTTCCGCACAGTTTGCAGGGGAACTCCTCAGTGGCGTCACCCTGGCTGGAGGCGGGCGAGGCGGCCGAGGCCGACCGCTTGTCCGGCGTCGGCGAGCGCGTCTTCACGCGCGACTGCAAGCGCGCGTGAGCGGGCAGCACGCCCCGCGAGGTGAAGCCCTGCCCGAGGCAGCCGGCCGTCAGCGGCCCGAACAACACACATCCGACACATCATCATCCGACACATCCACATTCGACACATCGTCATCCGACCCATTCACCTACCGTGAGATAAGTAACGATATGTCCGGCCGACACCGACCAGCACGACAGGACAGCCGACATAAACAGCATGTTGTTTCAAAGATGGCATTCCTTACGGATATTCAGATGGCAAATTACGCACACCAACAGTGAAACAGTACCTACAAGACGCTTAAGCCGACTCCACGGATGTGGTTTCGAGACAAAGCGCTTGCTTGATTCTTCTGCGGGTGGCCGGCCACGGAGCGGCCTTCAGATCGGTGGTGACAGCGCCAGGCAGGGTGTACCGATCACCACCACCATGCGAAGGTCTTGTTTGGTCCGCGCGCTGCCCGCGCCGCCGGGCGCCGTGATGAGCTCGTTGAAAGAGCGTCGCCGGTAGCTGGCCTGCAGAGAACGGTGCGGAACCGCGCCGGTGGCAGCCTACTCACCGGGTTGGGGGAGCCGTCTGAGTACTCGCACGGGTACGACAGCGTCTTCACGTCAGCTCCGTAGGTGTCGTACTGCGAACAGCACGCGCACACGTTAGCGCGGCAGCAAGGAGGCAGCTCGGCACTGGCTTCTTCGACACACACCATACACACGCTGTGATAATGCCGTGTGAGCTGGATTGGCGTCACTGATGCAAAAATCTGGCGGAATCAGCGAGTTTAATAAATAACGAAATGGCCTATCCTAGACAAAAAAGCCACCGCTGGCGTGACATTGATGTCATCAATAAAAAGGGACAAGCCCGTCACGTTAACTAGGCATGCCTGCGACACCGACGAAGCGCATATCTCCTGGCTTCGCCGTAAGCACCACGACACAGAGCGGTACCTATGACCGGGGCAGTTGCACGTGTCGTTGCATAATGCAACATTTCAATCGAGATCCAGGTTTCATCTTCGGCGCCGCGCCCACATCTGCCCGCACAGCGCCCGTCCACAAATCCCCCTCTCGGCCGGGCGTCGGCGGCTCCGTGACAACCCTTTTAAGGCGCCCGGGCGGTGGACAAGATTCCCGATACAGGTCGCATCGCCACGACCTTGGACGCCGCCTTGGACCGTGGAGGGCAGCCGGCAAGCAATTAATAACGGTAATTGTTAATTCATCGACGCATGTAGCTGCGAAGGCCATCGGCCCCGGCGCGCTCGGCGCTGCGTTACGGCCCGGCGCTGTATGCAGCGTATGTGAATCACGGCACGGCTAATGCACCGCCGGAACAAACAGGCGGCCAAACTTTGGCAAAGGGCCACAGCGCCTATACCTTCGGCAGCAGTGCAATGGACTCTGGATTGTCCATGGCGTGGTGTGGGGCAATAGAAGTCCTTTCAAGTTGAGGAATCTCCATTTTTGGTTATTCTTTCCAGGCAACGCCCACTAGGCCAATGCTCAATATTCAGGAAGTTGGGACTTAGCAACCCCCTGGTCATCGCACCCCCGGCCTCGTAAGACTGCGGTGTTCACCATACCCCGCCGCAGTCTACCCGTTGTCGTGACACCGCCCACGAAACACACACGTCACACAGCACGTCACGGTCGACTCGGACCGCTGCGACAACACGCGCTGCGGCGCGGCGGCCGCGTCCCTGACCGGCTGGGTGGCGCCGATGGGGCCCGGCGGCGCCTGATGCGCAACCGCCGCCGCCGCCTCCTCGGGCGTCGGGCCGGCCCGTAGCCGCGACTGCTGCTGCTGCTCCCGCTGGCGGCGCATGGCGCGGAGTCGCGCGTAGTCGTCCACGCAGACGCGCTTCCAGAAGAAGTAGAACTGTACGCACTCGTTGGTGGTCTTGCTCAGCACCTGCGGGCGGACGGGCGGTGAGCGGCGCCCGCGTGACGTCACGCCGCGCTCCGCCACGCTGTCTGCAGGCCGCGGCCGAGCACATTCCGCGGCGGGCGCGGCACGGCAGCGCCCGGCTGGCGTGCACCGCGCCGCCCGCCGACCGGTTGCCGCCCGGCGAGTCGTCCGCGACGGGGGCGTATCGGTGGATCGTGCGGCGCGGCGCGGCCGGCCGGCCGGCCGGCGGGCGCGGTGCGGACGTCCGTTCGGCCTCACGGCCGCCGCTCCACAATGGCAGGCCGGCCATTGTGGATGGTATCGGGCCCTGTCCGCGGCCCGAGTCGGAGCGTCACGGTCCGCGCCCGGCCGGCCGCCACGGCCGCCGCGGCCGACAGCGTGAGGCACGCACGCCGCAGCGAAACAACATTTGGGTGGGAGAAGCCATTTTTACAACTTTGCGCGACGATGCCGCGATAGTGAGGGAAATGGCGTTGATAAGGAGAGGTTGCGTCATGTTTACGAGGTCTGATCCAATGGCGGCGTTGAAAGAGCTCTGGCCGTGGAAATGTTTGTGCAAACCTTTGAACCCGAAGCATAAGCCGTGTGAAAGATGAGGTGAGCGTTGGGGCCGTCCACCAATAACGCTACGCATTTTTTATTGTAATTCTTCAACTTTCCCACCCGTAAACGTGCTGGTTACGCTCGGCGCCCCCTTCCCTACCTCTTGTGCTTACGCTGTGTGAAGCATGACGTCCCAAAAGGAACGTCCGCTTAGCCCCTTACCGATGAAGACTCAAAACCAATAACAGGTATCAGCGTAACAGATTTCTTGACAGAAGACCAACAATATCCAGGCTTAACGCATTAATTAGAAAACAACACTCTCCCATGACTTGCAACCGCATCTGAGCGAAACGTTGCGCTGTTCAAAACCTCGCCGATTCACCATTGCTACGCTGTCGTTACCCTCCAAACGCCCTCTCCATCCCCTTCATGCGTAACGTAATTTATGGTCGGCCCCTAGGATGAAATGCGACCTTCGTGATGGTGCATCGACCGCAGTATTCTGGCGAATTCGTCCGGCCCCGTATCAGAGATGTTGGAGGGTTGGTCAGCATCTCGAAAATTCATAGCAATAACTTGCGTTCGTCATCAGACGTGTCCGACATCGACGGCTCGGTAACAGGCGGTGTGTTGCGGTACTGCAGACTTCTCAGCCGCGCACCAGGCCAGAGCGAAGCGTCGCTCTGCCCTTCCTTTGACCCCTGGAGATGGGCGTGGCCGCGGTCAGGGCGCCCATGTCGGCAAACCGGGACCAGGGGACCGCAGTAACACTCACTAGTGACTGGGTGTTTCATAACGGCTGAGGCTTGCAGCATCGATCACGAAGGCCTTAAACACGCACAAACGTAAGGTTTTGGAGCTTTTCGAAACGTCGGAACGAGCGTATCCAGTCATCAGATTTGTAGAATTTTCAGCACTTCTGTCTTATTTCAAATAACACACAAATCGGGTAAGAGTTTGTTGTAAACACGATTGAATAAGATCACAGAACGCTGCATGGGTAAGTAACATTTTTAGAGCGTTTCAATGCCTTACGCATACTTTCCTCTAAGCTTCCGCGCAAGTCTTGTATCGAAATAATTCAGGTCCAACGTCGATGATGTCATACATTTGGCTCATACAAACAGCACTTTCAGCTGACCTCTTCAAAATGATCAATGTCTTCCCGTTATAAAAACAATATTGCGGATTTTGGGCCCCATTGTGTGGCATTGCTGAGCCTAGGAGGCCTTTTCCTTTCGCCGAAGTACACAGTCAAAACCATCATCACGAGAGCGAATCATCTAACGTCGCTTGGTTTTGAAGAAGCTTCTACTCCGCGATCGCCCTCAAGTTACGAAGCAAGACGGCAAAGACAGGACATAGGCTGCAGTTGCGCGTGCTATCAAAACCTTCAGGCAGCATGCCCACCTTTTAAACCATGTCGAAATAGACAATAGAATAAAAATTAGTGCACAGTCACATACCTACACAAACTTGCATGTCGAGTTGAACATTAAGACAACTTTTTTGACCGGGAAAGGATTGCCCTCTTGGTTCTCTTCTGCAGTGGAAGTCCAAAAGTCGGATACTGGATACAAGGATGCGAATAAACAGGGATATATGATACGAATATAGGGCCCCGTCGCGGTAGGGGGGGAGGCATTCCGTCGCAGAGGCAATGCTGGGCCAAATACATACAGAACAATTGCTTTAATTAGTGGTAAAATAGGTAGTAAGTACCTAGATGCATCACTATTAGTATCGACTAATTTTGTACCACTGGTATCCTGCAGGTACCTGTTGTTTTTGTTACGCAAACTTCTTCATATGTGAAGCCAGTCTGCAAATGTTTAATAGGTTTTTAGGTGATAATAATTGGACAGGGATGAAAAACAATAAACTGCAATATGAGGCAACTTTTAAAAGTGCAGGGTGGCTGACATAAAAGTTGACTCATGTTTTCTCAACAATGAAAAGTTTCGTCATATAATCGTGGCTGTGGTGGTTATACAACAAGATCAGCGACGGAGAGAGTCATAAGTAATCCCTCACGAGGATTTACTAAGAGGTCTTTCTGTAATCTACACCCCATTCTTAGCTTTTCACATAAGGTATTTCACATTAGCTTGAAATGGACAGCAACAGGAAAACAAGTTTGAATCTGAAAAACATTCTTATTATTGTTTTAACATCGAGGACACAAATTTAGGTGACCAAAGTCCAGGGATAAATCAGTGATTCGGGTAGGTTAGGTCAACATTTTCGTCTGAGTCCGCCAATCGAAAGTGGAAACCCTGGGCTCACAGTTTGGTGGGGTGGGTTTGGTGAGTTTGGCTAATTTTGGCCCTGGAAAATGAGAGACTCGCATTGGAGCCTTGGCGCAAGGCATCCAACGTAAAAACACTAAAACACTGAAAAGTTTATGCCAGCGATAAATGGGCACAGTTGTGACCCCCCAAAGTTGAAACGAAGCAGGAATTAATTTGGCAAAAGCTCTGGAGTTATATGCGTGAATTCGCATTTAATCCCCGATGTTTTGCTTAACTTGGCACAATATTTGCGCTTACGTCTGTACTACGAAGGATTGTAGGCCTTTGTGACGCAATACAAAACGTGGGTACAAAACAGAGTCGTGAGGTTAGCTTCTGGACAAACGCACACTGCAGTACGTGTTACTTGCCGTATTGGGTTGTTTAACAACAAAACAATGGCACATGGTTCAAACGCGCCAGAATGAATGTCAGGCCGCAATGATGTAATTCAAAAATGCATTCATTTGATACAACGTACACGGCTATTTGTTTATACAACTATGCGATCTATTTTTATGGAGCAAGCTGCTCTGTCTCGGCACTGAAAAAGATAAATCCCAAAGTTTTCGTTGGATGGATTATTGGAATCACAGCCCATGCTTATCAGCGCTCGCGGCTTGAAATCTGCCCCCACCACCCAATCGTGAAATTCCAGATCAGCGGGAGCATCTTTGAGACGGAACCCTAATGTGCCATCATGCTCGGCCCGTTCTGTCCTACCCTGTGCCGTCATCGTCATCTGACGTCTTTTAGGCGGACAGCTGCCGCCATCCGCAGGCCATTCCAGCCAGAGGCGTATGTGAATATTGCTTAAAAATTTAATTACACACACACACACACACACACACACACACACACACACACACACACACACACACACACACACACACACACACTATATACTATATATATATATATATATATAATAAGTAGTGAATGCCTAAAGTGGCTCGAACCAATACTACGGGTGTTGGTTCGAACTACTACGGATGAATGAATTCAAGAAAGACGACACGCCCACGATGCATGAAAAAACATGCATCTGATGCCTATCTGATGCCTAAAAACATGCCTACGATGCACACAAAAAACACAAAAAACAAGCAAAAACAAAACGAGGCGAGAACTGAACGCGGCTGAGCGTCTAAGGCAGTAAGAGGTCACGAGGATGGGCATGGACTCCGAAACAACCAGCGGCTCAGACCTCCGTGACCTCTCTGAGCCCTCTGACCTCTCAGACCCCTTACACGTCCGCCGGCACGGCTCTCCGAAGAAGTCAGAGCTGTCTGGGTTACGTTGACATGTCTCGAGACAACCAAAGAGACGCGCAAGCCTCGCGCGTGAGTCTCCGAAAAGAACCTCCGGAAGTTGCACTGGTCAGCAAATAGTCAAACAACTGGTGAGGTGTGTGCGAGGCCCTGAGGTCCAGCCGTGAAGCCTGTCACGTCGCCGGTCGCCCAGGCGGAAATGACACGCAGGACAACTGACAGAAAACCCACAGGAACCTGTCACCTGTTTGTTCACTGGGTTTTACAGCTTACTACGTCAGAAGCAAGGCGGTTAGCACTTTTCAGCAAATGCTTGCTAAAAGTGCTGCACCACAGGACCGGTTACAGGGCCGTGTGTATGTACAATCCGCCGCTTCGACGAACGCACCCCTATTTTTCGTTTCCCAGTCGTCCAGTTAATGGCCGCGGTGACATCATTCCTGCATTGCGTTTGCCGAGTCAGCCCATTCTTAGCCAAACCGCAGGGATCAAAGTTAGCCGGGCGCAGGGTTCCACGCTGAACCGTCTGGTGCGGTTCATTCGGTCAAAGTTAGCCGGGCGGAGCGTTCCACCCTGAACCATCTGGTGCGGTTCATTCGGTCAAAGTTAGCCGGGCGGAGCGTTCCACCCTGAACCATCTGGTGCGGTTCATTCGGTCAAAGTTAGCCGAGCGCAGCGCTCCACGCTAAGCCGTCTGGTGCGGTTCATTCGGTCAGTTAGCCGAGCGCAGCGTTCCACCCTGAACCGTCTGGTGCGGTTCATTCGGTCAAAGTTAGCCGAGCGCAGCGCTCCACGCCGAATCGTCTGTTGCCGTTCATTCAGGTTACTTCGCGAAACGTACCGGCGCACCTGAAGCATGCCCTGAAATACCAAAGTCCCCCCCCCCCATTCCCCCGGGCGAGGAGAGAACGGTTGTCCTCACACCATGTCATCTGGCGACAGCCCGTGAGACGAAAAATGGCGGCCGGTATTCGTTGCGAGAGCGTGAGAGCCGGCCGGAGGCGGGCCCCTGCGACCGCCGGCTGCCGGCCGCCGGTACCGGGCGCGGGCAAAAATTCCCGCCAAAAATGAGTAGAACAAAGGCGCCTGACCTGTTTACAGGAGGCCGTACGAGCCAAACAGCGGCCAGCGCCCGGGCCAGCGATCGGCGGCGGCACCGACAGGAGATTATCGTCCGGCGGGACATGGTGCGGACCGCAGCTGAACCGCCCGCCGCCATTTGCAGGCCGGCAAAAATATCAAACAACGGCTGGCCCACTGCTCGCAAAAATTCCAACAACGTCGGCCCTCGGCGGTGCGGGCCGCCTGCCCGCTTCTGCTGGGCCGGCCGCGCAACAATGGAGGAGCTGCGGTCGCAGACCGGAGGCGTGGCTTCTCGCCGCCCGGAGGGGAACACCGGCCAGCAGTCGGGCGGCCGCGGTGGCCCGGCCCGGCGCGGCCGGCCGGCGCGATGGCCGCGTGGGTCCGTGGTAGGCTCGGATAACCACAGCCGCCACAGCCGGCGTGGCCGTGCTGACAGCTGAACGCAGATCAGATAAGCTTCCGCGGTGCAGACGCCGCGTACGGACATGGCAGAGTGAGTGCACAACCGCTGGTGACTAGCGCTGCTGTGGGCGGGCTTGGAAGAGAGCGGATGGTCCGGGATCCCCCACCCCCGATCCGTCGAGTCCCAGCCGGCCACACAACGCCGCCGACCGACGGCTGCGCTCACCTCTTTGGAGACGCGCTGGAAGTCCTTGTCGTACTTGGCGAGCGCCTGCTGGAACGTCTGGATCTCGCGTGCCGTCCACCGGTTGGCGTCGGAGGTGGCCAGCGCCAGCAGCGGGTGGTCGCTGGGTAGGTGTGGCGTCGGCTGCAGCAGCCGGAACATGGCGTCCTGGCGGCGCGGCCGGTCACGCTCTCAGAGCTGCCACCGGCGGCGGCTCAGCACCGGGCCTAGCGCATCAGCCAGCCTTATTAGCCTGAGCGGCTCGACCCGTACAAAGCGAACGCGACGGGCGCGGGGGGCACCAGGTCCACGCTCACGGCGAGCCAGCCGCCCGCCGCCCGGCCAGCACCAGCCGTCAGGACGGGCCGGGCTCGACCTGATCAGTCATCAGTCGTCAGGACGAGCCGGGCTCGACCTGACCAGTCATCAATCGTCAGGACGAGCCGGGCTCGACCTGATCAGTCATCAGTCATCAGTCGTTAGGACGAGCCGGGCTCGACCTGATCAGCCAACAGTCATCAGTCGTCAAGATGAGCCGGGTCCGACCTGACCAGTCACCAGTCATCAGTCGTCAGGACGAAACGGGCTCAACCTGATCAGCCAACAGTCATCAGTCGCCAAGATGGGCCGAGCCCGACCTGATCAGCCAACAGTCATCAGTGGTCAAGACAAGCCGAGCCCGACCTGACCAGTCATCAGTCACCAGTCGTCAGGACGAGCCTGGCTTGACCTGATCAGTCAACAGACATCAGGACGAGCCGGGCACGGCCTGGCCAGTCATTAATCTTCAGCTACCAGGTCGAGCTGGGCTCGACCTGACCAGTCATCAGTCGTCAGGACGAGCTGGCTCGACATGATCAGCCATCAGCCATCAGCCATCAGCCAACAGTCGTCAGGCCGAGCCGGACACAACCTGATCAGCAATGAGCCATCAGCCAACAGTCATCAGTCGTCAGGACGAGCTAGGCTCCTCCTGTAACCGACGCCGCCGCCACACCTCGGGCTGGCCGACCACAATCGGGCGCCAGCTGCCGCCTTGCGGGGCGGCGCTTCCGGCGGTCGTGGCCAGAGACCACTTCCAGTCTGGTACAGCGCCCGCTTCCTGCCCGTACAGGTGCGACGTGCGACAGATGACAATCTGACGGCCTGTCGCGGCCGTGTGGACATGTCAGCCGTCACGCCAGCAGGCCGTCGTCCCGCGCACACTGTCAGCGGCCGTTCGGCGGCTCGCTCTCGGCTCTTCGGCTCATCTGGGTGTCCGACGGTCTCTAACACACTGACGTCACCGCTTCCCCAGCAGCGCTAACCAGCACGGAGGGACAGTCCGGGGTCAGAGGTCAGGGGTCATACCTTGATGCAGCCTCCGGTCATGTGCAGTACGTGCAGGGCGTACTCCTTGTTACGCCCGCCGGCCGGCGCCGAGGCGCAGCACGCGAACTCCAGGTACATGTCCACTGCCGGCGGCACACCCGCAGCGCTCAGTCAGGTCAGCTGGCACAGTTGTGACAACAGTGGTTCTTTGTTTGGTTCCTTGTGATTATGTCATTTACAAATGTTTCTCCTCTACTTTATGGTCAGACTGTGGGGACGGGTGTCTCAGATCGGTCAGAGGCTAATCGCATTCAGTCATTGACGAACGACACGATAAGAAGTAGTAAGCATACACCCCGAGATGGCAGCCTCAGCTCGCTGTCATTCTGGAAGATCACACAAAACGCGCAATGCTTCTTCCTCCCACCTGCCATCGCTCGCCATTTCCAGTCACACCAGAGGCTCGCCGCAGCGGGCCTGGACATGGCCCCCCGTCCACCCAGCCCCCGCCCGGTCCGGCGCCCATCCCGGCGAGGCCGGTGGGGGGCGGCCACTTACGCTCGCGCTGGTTGACCTTCTGCAGCGTGCGCGGGTGCCAAAGCATGTCGGCGCGATGCACGTCCAGGCCCACCGCCCTCGAGTGGCCGACAAACTCGGGCACCTGCGCCTGGTACTTGGGGCCGACGTTGATGTGCGCGATGACGTCCGTCTCCGGCGGCAACTCCATGTAGATCTCCATCTGCTGCTGCTCCGACAGGCTGTCTGTGGGAGGCCAGGTCGACCGTCAGTACACGGCGCGGTGAGCGTCGCCCGCGCCCCGGCCGCAGCGGGGCCGACGGCGGTCAGCTGGGCTGCCGATGTGGACATCCGTCTCTTAACACCCCCGGCCGCCGGACAACGCCGCGTCAACGGCAGTTCTCGGCAGCAGTGTAGCTTCCGTGGAACTGATAGCTTTGATGGGTCCGAGAGCTTCGTTGGAACTGAGGGGTGGCGGCTACTCGATTAAAGCAGGGGTACAACCACGCCGGCACGGTGCCTCCGCCCCTGCCCCAAATGGCTGGCCTTTTCAAGGGGCTCCGCCCCAAATTTGGCAATGCCGCACAGCGCAGGGCGACAGCGCACAGCACAGCCTGGTAAAGCTGCCCGTGTTTCTTTCCACTGGCTGCGGCAGGACAGCGCAGTACATTTGCTGCAGCGTTGACCCATGTCCGTGCCCCGAACCGTGAGTTTGAGCTTGGCTACCGGATTGGTGTTTCGCTGCACCTCATTAAAATGCCAGTGAATAGCGGTGATTACCGCAGCGGTTACATGCATCGTAAAATAGCACACAAAAAATGCCACGCCCACATAAGCACAATGATTCAGATTCCAGTAAGTGATCACCGCGAGGTATGATACACGTATTTTCCTTCATTTCTTTCATGACCACTGAAGACGTGATGCAGTTTTTCTCCATGTCCTGAGTCAGACGGCCGCTCGCCCGGTTGCCGCGGCCATCTGTGACCGGCGGAGGCCATTTCGCGCGCCTCCCGCCATTTCCGCCGGGCCGGTGGCGCCATCTGGTGGGGCGCCGGTGCTGGCCGGCCAGACTGGTCCGACCAGCGGGACGGACCCACGCCGCTCCGCTCCGGCGGGCACCGCCCGGCTGCGCCCGCCGGCCACCAACGCCGCTGACCCGAGCCAGCCATGATCGCCGCCGCTGGCCGGAGCCAGCCAAGGCCGCCGCTGCTGACCCGAGCCAGCCAAGGCCGCCGCCGCTGACTCGAGCCAGCCACGGCCACCGCCGCTGACCCGAGCCAGCCACGGCCGCCACTGCTGACCCGAGCCAGCCACCGCCGCCACCGCTGACCCGAGCCAGCCGCGGCCGCCGCCGCTGACCCGAGCCAGCCACGGCCGCCGCTGCTGACCCAAGCCAGCCACGGCCGCCGCCGCTGACCCGAGCCAGCCACGGCCGCCACTGCTGACTCGAGCCAGCCACGGCCGCCACTGCTGACCCGAGTCAGCCACGGCCGCCGCCGCTGACCCGAGCGAGCCGCGGCCGCCGCCGCTGACCGGGCCGGTCACGGCCGCCGCCGCTGACCCGAGCCAGCCACGGCCGCCGCTGCTGACCCGAGCCAGCCACGGCCGCCGCTGCTGACCCGAGCCAGCCGCCGCCGCCGCCGCTGACCCGAGCCAGCCGCCGCCGCCGCCGCCGACCCGAGCCGGTCACGGCCGCGTACTGAACACCAGCGACCGACCGGGGAACCCGGCCAACATCTCAAGTAATTGCTCCAAAGCTGTCACCCACCTCCGGCAAGCGAACGCCTCTAGCACAACCCAGTGAACTCTGCCACCACCACCTGCAACCTGCCTTCCTGCCCCAGCCCAGATACGGACCCGGAGGTCCCGGCCAGCCATTCTCAGCCGCCGCCTCGGCAGCGGACTGGCTTCAGCTGCCGGTGTTCAGACCGGCTGGTGCTTCCGGCTTGCAGACGGTAATCTTGTATTTCAATGCCAGACTCGACATGGCACCGGCGACTAACGAGCCCCAAAAATAAGCACATGCTCTACAGAAGTGTCGTGGAAATTGGCTGGGAACCTAGAGTCGTCTTACGTGGCGAAAGCTGCTCGAATTATGTGTGTGGTTCAAAGAAACGCTCCAAAACGCATTGCGCCATCGACGCTACATAACTGAACGTTTTACTCACCACCCTCCGTCCCCCCAGAGGCAAACACCTGCGACTATTATATCACGCCGAGCTTACAAGGTAAAACACGGCGGGAATATTCTTCGGCACAACACTGCAGTGACGAAACCAGTGGGAACATGCCAGTGCGTGCGCGGGCCGAAACGCCGGAACAGTACATCGCAAACACAATTCCAGAAACCAGCAGAAATCGGCATCGGTATTCCAACATCACGTGCTCCTGCTGGCCGTGGCGGTCATGCAGGTTTGTAAAGGTTGTGAACGGCCCAATGCAAGGGGAATGTGTCAGCACACCATGATCCCTATGGAAACAGACGACATCTCTACCTTCCATCGATCGCAGGAATTCCGAGCACTACGATGCAGTTTCACTGAACATAAGCCGATCTATGTTTAGCATCAAGCCCCGTTACATGCAAAGCAACTGACTGCGGAAACTAAAAGACTGCAGTAAGCAGCTCATGTCTCGTGCAGGCCTGCACGTGCGCATTAACACCAGCATCTGAGCGCCGGCCGCCAGCTGATGGTTGTCCGCCGAGCGTGTTGTCTATATTGGACGCTGCAGTTATTACGTGGGCCGAATGTTTACGCAACGAGTATAGTTGCCGATAGCCGCCGCTTTGATTCAGAGCAGAAGTCGCAATGCCAGTGTCCGAAAATAAACAGCGGAATATGTCCAGTGAAGTGAGCCTTTCAGTGCCGGCGCAATCCGGGATCAGCACGCGGTACGAACGGGATCAGGCTCAGCCCCAGTATTACGGGATCAGGGTCACCCGGAGCGCCGACGGGATCGGCATCACCCGCGGTATGAACGGCGTAAGGATCGGCTCCAATGCTGGCGGATGAGCATCAGCGCTCCAGACAGGCGGGATCATGATGAGTCTGGGCGCTAGCGGGATCAGAGTCGTCAACCGTGTCAACAGGATGGGGATCGCTGCCAGACGTGCTGCTGCATCAGATGAGCCTCGGTCGCTGGATGCTGGACTGATTGAAAACAGACCAGTCCCGAGTGCGTTGAGCGTCGCCGTTTTAGCCATGATTCCCACAAGCATATTAAACCAAGCCAAGCCACGTAGGCCAAGCCACATACAAGCAGCTGGACCTATTTCATTTCGTGACTGGAGCAGACTGGAGGTCGAAACGACATACAAAGGTGTATAACTGTAAGAGCTACTTATGCGTAGTCAGTGTCCAAGCCTCCAAGCGCACGTGCTTAATGGGCTCATCGAGCAGTCACTGGTAACTGTGCTCAATATCGCCAGACGTTTTCGCGCTTCAGCTGAAGTTATATCAAAAGCCTTCAGTAGGATTTGGTTTTCCAGCGTTCATGCTTTTGTAAAGAAAATATATGGAGACAATGAGTTTAGTTACTAATGTCAACAAGTATGAAAAAGCCAACCGACTGCACATACAGCGCTACCTTTGATTTTAAGGCGCTTCACTAACAGGAAATGGTTTCCTGTCCTTCGTTCGGGCATGGGGGAAGAACAATAAAAATTAGAAGGAACATTTCAACAGCAGGATGCATTATTCGGTCATTGGCCACGCCATAAAACGTCCAACCACAATTCAACCTTGAAAGTTATTGCAGCTCGAGTCGTGGAAGGGAAGATACGTCAGCAGAGGTACCAGTGGCAGTACACCATCACCAAATATGCCACACCCTTCCACTACTAGCCACTGTGCGTCTGGGAAGTCAGAGGTGCGGGGTTCGATTCCCTGCGGAACCCGCCCTTCCCGCCGGGGTGAGAGGCAGACGACGCCATAGAGCCTCAGCAGCTGAGTGCGTCGTAAAGTCCTGATGACGACGAAGCCTTCCACTACAGCGGGTGGCCCAGCCCGACCTGGCGTGAAGCCGCTGCACGAGAACAGCGGCCGCGGCACGAGCAGAGCCACCCAGGCACCAATGGGGTCCCTGAAACCGGCGAGCGACCTCTGCACGAGAACAGCGGCCGCGGCAAGAGCAGAGGCACCCAGGCACCAATGGGGTCCCTGAAACCGGCGAGCGACCTCCGCACAGCCGGCGTCGCTCTGCTCCTATAAGCCGCCCCTGAACTCAGCGAGCCGTCCCTGTATCGCCGCGAGCGCTCCTATGCCGCTGAGTGCCGCGTGACCCCCGCACCGCTGAGTGCCGCGTGACCCCGTGCCGCTGAGTGCCGCGTGACCCCGCGCCGGTGACACACCTGGCGGCCAGCGGCGCCTCGCGCCGGCGGATTAGGCGCAGCGGTCCCGGCCGTGATGGATGTCGACCGGGGAGAGAGCGCCGCGCAGGGGCCCGCCGGCCACAGGAAGTGAAAGGACATCGATTCCCACTCAGGGCAGACGCGGCAGGCGGTGCCCCTTACCCGACCCTCCCCACCTCCCCGCCTCTCTCTTTCTCTCTGCATTCCACTGCAGGCAGCCCTGTATAAATTCGCGTCCGGCTGATGGCGGCATGCGGTCCGACTGGTGCCGGCTAACTGTCGCAGGGCCGGCGCAGGCCGGACGGCCGCGCCGCGCGGCTCCCAGCGCGCCACTCGAAACGTGTACAAAGAGGTCAGCAGCGGGCCGGCTCTGGCGCCCCAGGACCGGTTAGAATTGCGCCAGTTTGGCCACATAAAGGCGGGAGAGGAATGCGCCAGGCTGGGCGCGTCAAGAGCGGCGTGGAATGCACCAATGAAGACGGTATGGGAAAGCATCAGCCATGAGATGTAAAGGCGGACCAAGAATGCGTCAATAAAGGCCTGTAGACACCCTTGGAATGCACCGAGCTGAACATCCGAAAGGGCGTTCAACATAGGCCTGCAGACATTGTGGAATGTGCCAGTAAAGACCTTCAAAAAGGACGCGTGGGTCCACCTTCGAGGGGCGGGGGAATGAGGCGGGTTATGCCGGCAGGACCATGCACGGAGTGTGGATGTCAGGGTGGCCGGTGTTCTAGCTGGCGCCGGTGTGGTAGTCAGGGTGGCCGGTGTTCTAGCCGGCGCCAGTGTGGATGTCAGGGTGGCCGGTGTTCTAGCCGGCGCCAGTGTGGATGTCAGGGTGGCCGGTGTTCTAGCCGGCGCCAATGCGGATGTCAGGGTGGCCGGTGTTCTAGCCGGCGCCAATGCGGATGTCAGGGTGGCCGGTGTTCTAGCCGGCGCCAATGCGGATGTCAGGGTGGCCGGTGTTCTAGCCGGCGCCAGCGATGTCAGGGTGGCCGGTTTTCTAGCCGGCGCCAATGCGGATGTCAGGGTGGCCGGTGTTCTAGCCGGCGCCAGTGCGGATGTCAGGGTGGCCGGTGTTAGCCGGCGCCATGTGGATGTCAGGGTGGCCGGTGTTCTAGCCGGCGCCAGTGCGGATGTCAGGGTGGCCGGTGTTCTAGCCGGCGCCAGTGTGGATGTCAGGGTGGCCGGTGTTCTAGCCGGCGCCAATGCGGATGTCAGGGTGGCCGGTGTTCTAGCCGGCGCCAATGCGGATGTCAGGGTGGCCGGTGTTCTAGCCGGCGCCAGTGTGGATGTCAGGGTGGCCGGTGTTCTAGCCGGCGCCAGTGTGGATGTCAGGGTGGCCGGTGTTCTAGCCGGCGCCAGTGTGGATGTCAGGGTGGCCGGTGTTCTAGTCGGCACCCGTAAACCCACGGCAGAAGGGGGGGGGGCGGTCAAAAATGACGCCGCCGTCAAGCGTGACCGCATGTGTAGAGCAAGCGTGCATCATTACTGAGCCTCCAGAAGCAGGGCCGCACCTCTGCTGCTGCCTATCCGGGTGACGGCACATCGACAGTGCACCCCAAGACGGACCAAATCACAACTGCACCCGCAGGGTGGCAGGCAGCCGCCGTGGCAACCTCAGAGCGAGGGCATCTCGCTACCGCACCCCAGAGCGAGAGACATCTCGCTACCGCACCCCAGAGCGAGCGGCGTGCACAATCCATTTATCCATTGATTTATTGTGCATCCTTTTGGGGCGCAGCGTAACTAGCAATTACCGTCGCTGGGCAATACTGCGTCCCCAAAATGAGCAGCTGGCCCAGTCGCCTCCACAGAATCAATGTCCGTCACTAATTCTCAGGAGAAAGGCGCCGGTAACATAGCGTCACCCAGCTCACCACAAAAGCGGTGCCCATCCGCTCCCCTTAAAAAAGGTAGATCGGGGAGGCCTTGCGCACTTGACAGAGACAACATGGGAAAATGAAAGTACAAGGATAAATTCCACCTTTGTGCCTGCAGTAGCGGAGCCGGAAAGGGGGGGGGGGGGCATGTCGGGGGACCGGGAGGAGGGGGGGGGGAGGTAGAGGTGGGAATGGTCATTATCTGATGTGGCAACCGAGCTAATCTGACCACCCATCGAATTAGCTCCATTGTGCTCGTTATCCGGTGCCCCAGGTATGAGCTGCGGATGACATTGGCAATTAAGCCGGCACTGGCTGCGGACTCGGCCACCTTTCATTGATTGATGGCCGTCGGGTCCGTGGCCATCACTGAAGCCCGTCAACGGTGCCGCTTATCACGACGCCATTGGCCGGCCGAAGACCACTGGCCTGCTTAAAAGACGCCCCATGACGCGTCCTGAGCTGGCGATCATCCAGCCGGCCGCCACAGACGAACAGCGCCAGTCCTCCCACGCTGAGCGACCACCCACAAAGGCCCGAGGACTTGAGACCACAGCGAAACGACAACCAGAACAGATGGGGGGGGGGGGGGGGGGTCACGCATCTCCCCATCTGTAGCCAGCATCAGTATTGCTAGCCTCTGACCGCGAAAAAGGGAAGGTTGTCCGTCCACACCATGGCGAGCATGAAAGGCCAAATGTCAGCAGCTCCGTTAAACCGCACATGGGACAGGACGTCTGCCTGCTTCGCTTTTACTCACGAGAGAACCAGACCAGAGACATCGCAGTCAACCAGCGATTCCGCTCCTCAGGCCAGCCTGGCTGACTTTGGCAGTCCGCAGGCAGCTTGCGGCCGATTCTAGTCCGGTGGAAACAGCTCTGGCTTAAAGCGAAATATCCTTATATTGATTCTAAGAGCAGCAGAAACCGATTTTGAGTCGGCTGCGGCTCAGACCCAATGTTTGCGGCTTGCCTGTACCGAAAGTCTGTTTTGAAAGGCGCCAACAAATCTGGCATTCTATTTGATGAACAGACAGCTCCGGCGAAAAGTAACTGCCAGCCATTTGCACAAATGTTGCACTCGACTTATCGATGATCCCTGCCAGTGCCCCTGATACGGCTCCGGATCCGACCTTAACACATTCAAAAATAGGTTCCTCTTGACTCCTTCCTCCTAAAAATCTGACCGATTTCAGTCAACTCCAACACCACAAAGAGCCAAGGACCAGTCTTCCCTGGATCCCCCCCGCCCCCCCCCCCCCCCCCCGTCTCCCGACCCGCCGGACCGACTCACTTCTGCGGACGTCCGGGTAGCGGGGCTGTGCCGGCGCGGAGCGAGGCAGGCCGGGCCCGGCCGCCGGCAGCAGGTTCCAGTAGAGGCCGGGCCCCGGCCGGCTGGGCGGCAGCATCGGCGGCGCCGTGTAGGGCGGCGTCGAGCGGGCCGCTGGCGCCGACGGGTCGTACAGCGCCGGCGAGCGCAGGCTCGACTGGTACTGCTGGCTGTGCACCTGCGGCGGGATGAAGAGCGGCGCCGGGCGACGCTTCCGCTGGCGCAGCGGTCCGGCCGACAGCCTGGCGGCGGAGGGCTGGTCAGAGACAGCAGAGAGCCTGTCGGCGGATGGACGGTCAGAGACGGCCGACACCCTGTCGGCGGAGGGACGGTCATAGACAGCCGACACCCTGTCGGCGGAGGGATGGTCAGGGACGGCAGACAGCCTGTCGGCGGAGGGACGATCAGGGGCGGCAGACAGCCTGTCGGCGGAGGGACGGTCAGAGACAGCCGACACCCTGGCGGCGGAGGGATGGTCAGAGACAGCAGAGAGCCTGGCGGCGGAGGGACAGTCAGGGACGGCCGACAGTCTGTCGACAGCCTGTCGGCGGAGGGACGGTCAGAGACAGCCGACACCCTGTCGGCGGAGGGACGATCAGAGACAGCCGACAGCCTGTCGGCGGAGGGATGGTCAGAGACAGCCGACAGCCTGTCGGCGGAGGGACGGTCAGGGACGGCCGACAGTCTGTCGACAGCCTGTCGGCGGAGGGACGGTCAGAGACAGCCGACACCCCGTCGGCGGAGGGACGATCAGAGACAGCCGACAGTCTGTCGAGAAAGGGGAGGCCAGAAAGTGCTTCAGAGACGCTCCTTTATTAATCAAACAGCCGCAATGCCAGCTGACAACTAAGGGACAGCGTGATTGACAGCCCCCCTGCGGGACCGGACCGGTGACGGCCAGGGGGACCGCGTGCCGCTTGTCAGATAAAGCGTGGGACTGATACTCAGCGGAGGATGAAACATTCACAGTTGCGCTGAAATGGACGTAACATTGGCGACCATATGCCCGGCGTGCTGCCATGCGGAACAGAGATTATATGTGAAACAACACCTAAGGCGGCTTGCGTGTGACAGCACCAGCTATGCCATATGACGTGTGACCGGATCTGCGAGACGTTTTATTCCAGAATCTAAGCAGGCAGGCAGGCCGATCCGACCATAGTGAGCGGTCACAACAGCACGGCTGGACGGACCGGACCGTGCGGCTACAACAGGAGTGTCAGCTGACGGAAGACATGACCATGAGCTTAGGGAAATCGATTGCTATCGTCCGGTCGCCGGATAATTAAAAAAAACTCTAAACTAGGGATTTCCAGCGCGGGTGGCGAGCGCCGTCACTTTCTGGCGACCCAGTCGGCGGGTTCCAGGAGGCGGCCGAGGACGTGCGATCAGTCACGACAGCACGGATCCGGGACACCCGTCCGGCGATCGGCCCGCGCGAGCAGAAATCAGAGCCGTCGTGTCAACAGGCGGACCAGCCCGGCATCGAAGCCGGCCGGGCAGCCGCGACACGCCTGCAGCACCGGCCGCGCCTCGCGACCTCGCCGCAGGCTGGCGGCAGCGGTGTTGCCTCACTCACATCGTCGGGCTGAGGAAGACGTCGTCGTCGCCGTCCTGCGGGCCGGCCGCGCCGTACTCGGCGCCAAAGCCGGCCTGGTACAGCGGCGGCCGCCGCTCTGGCGCCACCCAGTCGACGTAGCCTGCCGGATCGGTGCCGTAGTACTCGGCGCCGCGGCCGTTCAGCGCTGTCTTGGCGTCGCCCAGGTGGGCCGCCTGTGAGCTCATCAGCAGCGTGTAGCTCGGCTGGTAGCCAGACGAGGCCGGCGGGTAGCCGCTCTCCTGGCTGGTAGCCGGCTGGTAGGCGCCGTAGCCGCCGCCGCCCATGCTGCTGTCGAAGCCGTGCAGGTTGTACTCGTGCGCGGAGAGCGACGACTGGTAACCCTGCTGCTGCTGCTGCTGCTGCTGTTGGTGTTGCTGCTGTTGCTGCTGCTGTTGCTGTTGTTGCTGCTGCTGTTGCTGTTGCTGTTGTTGTTGCTGCTGCTGTTGCTGCTGTTGTTGCTGTTGCTGCTGCTGCTGGTGGACGTAGTGGACGGGCGACAGGCTCATCTGCCCGCTGCCGGGCTCGGTCGCCAGCTGCGCGCCGCTGGCCGCCGAGTACCCGGGCGACTGGTAGGCGGGCGACGCCAGCGGCGACTGCATGTGGCCCAGCCCGGAGCGCGACAGCACGTACGTGAACTTGTGGTGCGGCTCCTTGTGCAGGGCCGGGTTGTGGGCGGCGGCCAGCGGCGACTGCAGCAGCGGCGAGTGCCGCGCCGCCAGTGGCGAGCCCTGCTGCGGTGAGCCGTGCGAGTGCGGCGGGTACTGGAACGTCTGATGGTGCGCCGGCGAGGCCAGCGGCGAGCCCGTCACGGAGTAGCCGTACGAGCCGTACATGGCGGCACCCGGCGGCTGCGCCGACGGTGGCGGCGGCGGCGGCGGCGGCAGCGGAGGCGGCGGCGGCGGCGCCGTGCCGATCGCCTCCTGGTTGCTCTGGTTCACGGTCGGACTCTGCAGCGGCCGGTTGTACGAGGACACCTCGGAGAACTGCTGCAGGCCCGGACTGGCCGCGTACTGGCCCTCGAGCAGCGCCGGACTGACGTCGCTCAGCGAGCCGCTCTCCTCCAGCTCGACCGAGCCGAACACGTGCTCGTGCGGCATGTAGCCGGTCTCGGCGCCGCCGGCGGCCGCCGTCTCCTCCACGTGCGCCGGGTAGTCGCCCTGCAGCAGCGAGGACTCGAGCACGTCGGCGAGCGCCAGCTGCGGCAGCGAGTCGCCCGACTCGGACACGGCACGGTGCGGGCGCTTGTGGCTTTTGTCGGACATGTAGTGCGACAGGGGCCTCTTCATAACGAAGTGGTCCGAATCGGAGTGCCGGCGCAGCTTATCCGGCGTAGCGATCTTCAGGTCCTGCCGAGCAGCGCCGGGGTCAGCGACGGTCACACGGTCAGCCGGCGGTCCGCCAGCGGCGCGCGGCGAGGGACGGTGCGGTCACAACAGCACGAGCGACACAGCTCAAGGGTCACCTTACGTTCAGCTCCATGACAGCAACGGTAAACAGGTAACATTCACATACAACAGAGACCGCAACCGTGACAGTGGCGATGTTACTCATACACTGCCATCCAGGCCGACCGGACGCGTCACCTCCGCCGCCTCGGCCCGCAGCGCGGCGGAGGCCGGGTCGTCGCAGCCGTTCTCGGCGGGTGCACGGCCCGCGCGCCGAGCGCGGGTGCCGAGGTCACGGCGGCGAGGCCGGAGCGGGCCGCGGTGCGCACAGTCGGGCTCAATCAGCAGATCAGCGCGACAAATAAACACTCCCCCGGCCCCCACGGCGGCGGGCCGGAGCCGCCGCCGCCGCCGCCGCGGCACTCCCGCCTCGGCAACCGCCGCGCGGCCGTGTAGGGGCACCGGCGCGCCGGTACGGGCTAGTGCACGTGCCCTGGCGATGTGAGCGCTGACAAAACCATAGGGGCATGTTGGACCCTGAGCAATGTCCGAAACGAAATGGAATAGTTCACCGCGAGCCAGCTGCGTTATTCGCGCCGCTGGACGCACACGTCTCGTGGGCGTTCCCGGCTTGCAGTCGATAGAACATATTTTTTTAGAAGATCTTGTCTAAACCCATTAATGAATAAACTTCTGGGATCCAAGTCCCCGCTAAGCAGTCTTCTTCGCGGGCGCCGTAGCCTATCATTCGAATGTGAAATTTCAGGTCCGGGCAGAATTTGGTGGCGAAGGTTCAACGTTCGGCAGTGCTCGGCACGGCCAGTCCTGCCCAACGACACCACCTGATCTTTAGCGCGGCAGCTGCCACCGGCCGCAGAACATCAGGGACAAATGGCGAACGTCAAAAGCGCCTCAAACCCATCCCACCCACGGTGCCTGAATCTGAAGACTGCCGCTTCAACCAGCTGAACTTTCGAGACAGACGAGGCACTGACACGGACGCCATGTTGACAGCGATCAATCACGCGCCAATCCGACTGGGTCACATCGCGAACCGGCCGCTCGTGCTTGTTTCTCTGCCAAGATTGTTATGAGAACCTGGGCATCAGGCTATCTGTTATGGCGTTTATGTGCCTGCCGTGGAACCATTGGCACCGCTGCAAACCCGGTCATCGAGGATCACTATGGCGCCTAAAACCTGACCATATACCTATCCCAGCCCAATAGCCCTCCTGTGCAGGCTGGCGAAATAGGCACAGGGGGGAGGGGGGGGGGGGGTATAGACCCCATGCTAGCGGAGCTGGACCACAAGGTGATGTAACGCTGACGCACATAAGTCTCCTCTTCTAGTTGGCGTCATTTTGTTTATTTTAGCTGGTGTAATTTTGTTCTGTTTTGTATCATTTTGAGTTGTTGTCCCAAGGTCCCAACAATTTTGCTGCATGGTCCTTCTTGAAGGGTGTGAGTGGTTCTTTTTCCAGCCCACATGCAAGACTTATTGACGTTAAGGAGCCCGGATCAAGAACAAATGTAAAGAAGCAGCTAGAAAAATTTAATAAGGGAGTTTCGAAGCAACAATAGCAGTAGCCGCGGGGCTTTTCAGCATCACACTACCGTAACTATTATCAGCGCTGCAAACGCCATCAAAGCACAGGGCAACGCTGGAAGCCTCAACCAGAGGACGAAACCACGTGGCATGCCACACGTGGGTGTCGGCAGACATAAACAAATGTACCGTATACAGTCAGATGCACAGTAAACATCGATGCCGCGGTTGTCTTCTTTTTTAAGATCACCAATCCGATGGGCAGCCGCAAAGCGGCCAGGGGCCAGGCAGCGTCAGGGGCCCGGACCACATTGGGGACCCGGGGACGATCGGCGTCCGGGAGAGATCAGGGGCCCGGGCAGCGTCAGGGGCCCGGGCAACATCGCAGGCCCGGCGACAATCAGGGGCCTCGACGCCATCAGGAACCCGGGGCGATCAGGGGCCCCGGAACGATCTTCTATTCTGAAAATGACCAGGCGCCGCGCGGCCACTCTCGATTTTCCGATGCCGCTTGGCCTCCTGCGCACATCGTGAGGCGCTGGTCACCCCAGGATTCGTCAACCCCCA